ATGCAGTAAGACAGTGAGGACAGAACTCAGACTCCAATTTTATAAAATGGTTCTCAGTATTTTGTGTTCTATTATCTCCAAAGCATTTTCAAAATTTAGATAAGGTAATTACTCAATTAATGGCAGCCACTGTTACTGCTGCAGTTGCGTTCTGGGCTGCAAATACCCATTCAGGTCTCAGCAGTTGAGTGGAGTTCCTCACAGGAAGTCACAGGAGAGTTGGAGGGACTTGACACATAGGCCAGCTGCAGCCGTCAGCAGGCTCTGACCAAGCCAGCCCCACAGTCAGCACGAGCCCGCTGCCGGCACCCCCATCTCCTGCATCCTTGTCATACTCATCCTCTTTAAACTCTGCCCTGACTGGACCCACTACAAATCATTTTTGAGCAAAGTAACCAACTAGGGGAAAGGTACAGTTGCGGACAGCTGTGATCTAACCCAGCACATGGAGATTTGTGCAATTTAAAGCTCTAGGCAGCTGTTTTGTGGTGACTGTGCTTACATGTGCTACAGAAACTGTACAAGCCCACATTGCCCCGCTGGGTCAGGAAAGACAGCTAGTGATAGAAGCACTTGGGGGCGGGAGGACAAGAGAGCAAGAAGGAAAGGTGTAGGAGCCCACTGGCTAGAGCAACTCCTTCCTTAGCCCCTCAGCCCCTCTGTCAGTCATTGGGAGGAGGGCTTGATCTTTTCACACACCCTGTGTGAGGCTCTGGTGATGATGAAAATGGACATGATTTTGAAATCCTGACAGTTACCTTTAAACCTAGACCCCTCAGATGATGCCCGCCTTCCCCTTCACCTCTGATATCCTTTCATTATTTAGTGCTGAATGTGTTATGTAACGTCTCAGCTCTCTAAGGTGTACAAGCCATAACGGTGGCAGCACACAGTTGAAAAACTGGTCTAGCTTCGTTGACACAAACATTATACAACATGATGAACGAAAGACCAGAAACAAACGCATGAATATTTCTTAGATTATATAACTAATAGCTGGAAAACATGGTTGATGGGAAAATAAGAAAAAACGATTTTCCACCTCTCCCCTCATCCTTCTTTCTTGGCTGGATAGTAAACATAAAAGTTTTCAATAGATTTATATCTTTCTCTTACACTCATGCTGAATTTCAAATCAACACACTAAATAGTGTTGAGTGGAATTCTTTCAGCTTGTTTGTTGTTTTCATTACCTTTAGCCGAAAGGGTTAAGGTTTCAAGACTATGTCACTTCGCTCTTAATAGAGCCACTTTTCATCATAGTCAGGGATTTGGATTATAATTTCACATGCTTCAATAAGACATGACAATTGTCATTAAAATAAGAATTACATATCACAATTTTTTTATATTTTGTTACGTTGGGAGAGGGGTTTGAGGGTTAAGGGATGGTGTAAGATGTCACCAACATTGCCTTTATAGGAACTTTCAGAGGCAGTGGAAGGGGATATATGAACTGGGAATAGGTAGACCTGGATTAGATACTCTATAGCTAACTTGGCCATCATTGAAATCATTTTTGTGTCTCAGTTTTTCTTCTCTATAAAATGGGCACAACTACCCTGCAAAAGAAGTAAGGATGAGCACCGTGAAAAACATGGCTTTTCAATAAAAACCACTTAGGAATAAACACTTAACCTAAAATCCCAGCATTGCCTCTCACCCTAAGACCTTGGGTTTTTACTTAAAAAGGCTCTGCTTCTCTTTCTGGATCATTACCCACGGTTAACACCTGTGCTGAGTATTAAATGAGATGCCATCTGAGCAGTGTCACCAGAGATGGCTGCTCCTTGCACTATCTGCCCTGCAAGTATTTGGCACTCAGACACCTGGGGCATGAATGGCCCCATAGACCGCAGATGTGAGCACGGCAGCAGTCACCACCTCTGAACAGATCGGCTGCTTCAGAAAAAAGTCCCTTTAAGAGGCCCCCTGGGCTGTAAAAACTTAAGGTAGGCGGGGCAGAGCTAAACAGCAGCACTCCTATAGGTGCAGGAGGGAGGAGAGGCAACACAACAATCTGTAAAGCACCAGCTGCCCACCTTTTGTTGATGTATTCATAACGGCACCTAGCTCCAGGAAAGGTGTACGGGGGCTCAATAAGAACCGCGGCTCAGTGCTGTCGGTGGAGGGGCCCAGCCCCGTGACCCTCGCTTTATTTTAAATCTGAGAGTTACAGGTATCACACCAAGAGCCAGTTTTCAGGTCCAAACCCTTCCTTGAGCAACACTTGCCTAATGCCGGGACAGACCGCACCCAGCTGGCAGCGAGGGGAGGACAGAGACACCGTTAGGCGCGGTCACTCTGCGCGCCCTGAAGTCGAGTTTCGCCGGGGGAAGAGCCGCTGCTTGTCACCCGGACCCCTGGGCCTGCGGCCGGTCGCTGCAGCACAGCGACCGCAGCCTCGGTATCACACTATTCCAGCCCTTATATCGTATCCGGGAATGTAAAATGTCCCGCGCAGCAAATCAGCAAGGGTGATTCATTGACACGTAAGTTTGAGATGGGATTATGGGATCCGTAGCTCTGGGTTTGCTGTAGTTTAGAGACGCGAGATTACAAAAGAGGAGGAAACGCTCAAACCAAACAGTCGATAGATGTGCGCCCTGTTCTAGGTGCGGTTGGGCAATATATGCGGTCCCGCAACTCCAACACAGATCCCCGGAAAAGGCAGATGACAGAGGAGCAAGCCAACGAGGACGAAACAATCCAGGTACAGGCGAGGTAGCGCTACCAGCCAGGCTTCGGTTTCCCCGTCTGAAAAACGAAGCGTGTTGGGCTACAGCGTCTCCCAATCCTAATATTAATCTAGGACTCTATAATATTTCATGCTGAAGCTGCCAGAGGCTCGGAAACAGGAAAAAGAGAGAAAGCGAGGGAAGACCACAGGGAGGGAAACGGGGAAGCGAGTGGGAGACCAGGAGAGGGAACGGTGGGCACCCGGAAAAGCTTGGCGGGTGTTCAACTTTAATCCTCGTCTTCACACACCTGAGTTCCCACGTCTCAGAGAAGACCCTGCGCCCATCGATTTTGGTCACCAGTTGGCCAAACCTTTCCCTATCCACACCAATTTCTTCTAGAAGCCATGGGGCAGACAGTGGACAGCAAAGGAATTCATGCCAGGGATAGAAGGGGGAATGGTTCTGGCTGGGGTCTGGTGAGCAGGTGAATGGATTTGGGGCTCTGCTGGGGATCGCAGAGCGCCCGCGTCCCAGCCCGCGTGCGTGCCCCGGGAGGGCCAAACTTCATTCCCCAAATTTGAGCAAGAGGAGGGGGTGCTTGCAAATTAAAAAAAAGTGGGGGAAGTTGCTGAACTTTTCCCCCAACACCATCTCAGAGGCGGGACCGGAGGGCGGCGCCTGCACGGTGATTCGCGGCGGGTTCGGGTCTGGAGGCTCGGATTGGCGCGCGCTGTCCGGGCTGGGAAGAGTGGGCGTGGGGGAGGGGAGCGGCCCGCCCCGGCCGCGGGATCGGCTCGCGCGGGGAGCGGGTTAATTTCAAATCGGGGGCTTGACTGCTCCTGGACGGTCACGCTCCCTGTTCCCTCCCGCCGGCCAGCCAGTCCCGGTCCCGGCGTTTCCCTCTGGCACCCACCTCGGCGCGGCGTAAGGACCGACTGAAGGCCCGACTCGCGGGCTCCAGAGCCTGAGCGGGGAAGAGGTGCCAAGAAGTCCCCGCTCAGATTCCGCCCGCTCCAACTGTGAGGTGAACTGACAGGTCAGCGGGACGCAGAGGGAAGTGGCACCCGGCCGACCCAGCACCGGGAAAGAGCTCGGGAAGGCTGCGGCAGCAGCAGCGGCCGTTTCCCGCCTCTCGCTCCGCCGGGGGCCGTGGAGGGAGGAGCTGAGCTCCCGCGCAGAGGGGAGGGGGCGAGCGAGGGGGAGGGGCGAGGATGCAGTGGTTCCGGGCGCGGGTTTGCCCGCGCTCTAGCTCCGCGCAGCTAAGGGGCGGTGCCGGCCACGGTCCGGCTTTCCGCGCCAAATTTTTAAATCGAAGGCGGAAGGCCCGGACCCGCCCCGGCAGCGCCAACCAATCGCATGCCTGCTGCCGGCTCTCTGATTGGTCAGAAACCGTTGCCCTAGAAACCGCGAGGATGCTGTCCGGAAACCGCCTGGCGGGCAGCGCGGACTGAGCCTGGGGGGAGGGGTAATTGACCAGGCGGAGGGGAAGTGCGCTGCGCGCTGAGTGTGTGGCGCCAGCTGGACCGCACCTGGTTGCCTTACTGTGCAATGGCAGTCGGTGTTTCAGGATGGGGTCCAACATCGTGGCGTGAGCTGGCTAACCAAATGGCAAGCACATAGCGCTTTGCAACTTTAAGGAGGTCTTTATTAAATCCCTGAATCATAAGGCGTTCTTTACATACCCAGAGTACTTTTGGAGTTTAAGGACTGAAATTTGAAAGTTTCCTATCAAGCTATTTCCCAAGACTTTACTGCTGAGCCCTATGCACGTGTGTGTCAGGGGGAAAATACAGGCATCTAAATGCACTTTCATCCAGATACTTAAGGGTCGTGTCAGTTCAGCCCGCTCGAGAGCTCAGTCTAAGTCCTGATCTGTGACTTCGGTGGGTGCTGTGCTTACTACAGTCCGTTCGGTGGGGTCCTGAGAATGGCCTGACTTCTCTAAAGGTGAAAAAGGGCTGTCACTGGAATTTATGTGGGTTGCTTTAAGTCTCATGGTAGCGGATCGGTTTGCTGAAAGAATCTACTGCCGTTTGATTTAGTTTCCTGCCCAGAGCGGCTATCTCTGGTCTGGAATAAAATGGAAATGCAGTTTTTCAGTTTTCGTTAGTCTTTGTTTCAGTAGTCTGTTCTGTCCATGAAGGAATTTTCAACGGATCTCCTGCTTTTGTTTTTCTTTAATTTTCTATTTCCTTTTTCCCTTAAGGATATTAAACTTTTTAATAGAATTGATTGGACTACTTGAACCATCAGGATATTGGGAGGAACGTCAGATTTTTTACTTTTTAAGAAACTCTAAATGTATGAGAAATTTACAGGATGGAGAACGAAAAGGTATCTTTTTAACTTCAATATTCATCCTTGCAGTTTTAAATGCAATATCATCCTGATTTAACTCCTAATTTTAAAATATCCAGTATCTTATTAATGCTGCATCCCTTTCTAGTTAGCTTCTGTAGAAACCCAGAAGGCAGGGAAATTTAATTTTTGAAGAGGGAGAGAGTTGCCAGAGATAAAGTAATCTTTCTAATTTTTAATGAAAGATTTGGTGGAAGTCTCAAAGAAATCAGAAAGTTACTTTTAACAATAATAAAATTTGTTAGTTTCATTATGGTATTCCTGAGAATTCTTGAACAAAAGGAATTCAGAAAGAGCATTTGACATGATTGGAGATTGGATTTCTTTTTAAGATAATTTTCTACCAAATCACCAGCTTCTTTAACCATGAGGGTTGCAAACATTGAGAGAAAAACATTTTTGTAAAATTGCAAAAAAAAATTGTCAGGCGAGGTGTGTCTTGACTGCTGGTCAACTACTGCTAGGTTAACACACAAAAAAAGAAGGAAATATGCAAGTTTCCTAAAAGCTTTACACATTTGTCAAATAAGAGAATTGCTGTCTGTTACTTTGATAGCTTGAGGTGAAAGACAGCAGCCTTTAGAAAAACCCCATGCTTGGGTCAGCACCTCTCGGGTGCACATGCTTAGGAGGGTTTCCCATTGGATGACTCACACTGACTTCCAAGGAAGTGTATCTTGGATTGAGGGCTGAAGTCCTGTGCAGAATAGGACTAGAATTTGGTGAAAATACAAATGGAAAAGTACTCAATAAATCTTGAGGAGTCACAGGCATACAAAATAGTCCCATCCATCTTTGTTTCTAAAGTCATTGAGCAATTAGTGTATCTCTGTATTCTTTCACTTGATTGTCATTCCAAGCATTTTCTTTAAAATAGACCGGAAGGATGTGTGAAGTCCCCAGTGGCCAAAAGAAGAAACATGGTCTCCATTAGTCTTATTTAGTAACTACTGTCAATTTACCCTCTTATGTCTCAGTGGCAGTTCTGCCTGCTGCACCACACCCGGCCTTCCCGCCCTGCCAGGAAGTAGCTTTGTGACTTTGAGTAACTAATTTTACTTCTCCATCTGTAATGTCAAGGGGTACAGAATCAAGGAGCAGCCTTTTCTAGTCAGAAATTCTACTCTTTGGCACTCTGGATTTTGCTTCCTAGTGGAATTTGCCAATAAATTTGACCACCTTCTAGCCCTCACCCTTGCCTCCAGGGCTGTCTGACTCTTATACATCAATGGTGTTTTATTGAGCACCTACTGCATGCAAGCCATTGTGCTAGATGGATACACGGATGGATGGGACAGGGCTTCTGCTATGGAAGCCTTTACTCACTATAGTTTCATGAGTGAAAGTAACCCCTAAAAGTTTGGGATCATTTAAAGTTATCGCTTCTGTTAGGGGAAACTGAGTGAAAGGTATATGGAAACTCTATGCTATCTTTGCAATTTTTCTCTAAAGCTAAAATTATTTCAACATAAAAAGTTAAATTTTAAGTTTTGAATTTTTTTAATCCGTGAAACAGAAGATGAAAAAATTAGGTCCATGCTTTGTTGTGTAATTAAAAATTGGAAAATTTAACTTTTAGAGTGGACAGGTATCAATATAGTGACTAAAATAATCAACTCTACAACCTCATGAGGCATTCTTTTCCTTAGCAATATTCGATTTATTGTATAATTTCTAGAGTCAAAGACTATCTGATTAATCCTGTTTTACAGTGAATTTAATTATTGTTTTAAACCAGGAAAATCTCTTTTCTGAGCCGCATAAAAGGGGACAGATGAAAACACCTCTGAAAGAATCCACTGCAGCAAATATAGTGTTGACAGAGATCCAGCCTGACTTTGGCCCTTTAACCACACCCACCAAGCCCAAGGAAACCTCCCAGGGAGAACCCTGGACACCAACAGCCAACCTGAAAATGCTTATCAGTGCTGTGAGCCCCGAGATCCGCAACAGAGATCAGAAAAGGGGGCTGTTTGACAACAGAAATGGATTACCAGAGCCCAAAGACTGTTTACACGTAGGTTTGCAGAGGACTGGAGGGATCTGGGGGGAGAAGAAGAGTAGCTGAATGCCAGCAACATAAAGCATTGCCAGTCACAGACTATTAGCCTCCTTCAAAGCCCCAGAAAGGCTTGGACCCTGTCCAATATAGCATGGAATTCTGAACCTTTGGCTTACTTTCAGTTCAAGCTTCCCTTTGAGATCTGCCAAGCAGTTTACACTGGCTCCCCACCTTTTTATCCCCCCAATTTTGCAGCTGTTGAAGTGAAGCACTCACACCAGTGTTAGTCATAGAGTGCAGAGGCCCCTAATAAATCTGTCAAACTTTATTTCAGAATGAGACATTGTTTACCTCTTCTTTTGTAGGAACACTTATCAGGAGACGAATATGAGAAATCCCAACCAAGTCGAAAAGAGAAAAGTTTAGGATTGTTGTGTCATAAATTCTTAGCACGATATCCTAACTATCCCAACCCTGCCGTGAATAATGACATCTGTCTTGACGAAGTGGCTGAGGAACTCAGTAAGTATGCAAACAGCTTACTACAATGGTTAATAGTTAAATGACGTGGACTCACTCCTTCAGACCCACACTCATCCAGCCATCTGTAATGACACAAAGAAGGCCACAAGGAACTATAAATCTCTAAAGCACTATTAATTTAAGAAGAAAGGCATATAGTTTCCAATTTCAGTGAGTTAAAACAAGCAAAAAAATCACAATGGAGATTGCTTCTGAGGGCATTTCAAAAGCTCTGCAGCTTTAAAGGAAGGCATCATTGTTTTACGACTTGTTTCATAACAGCTACAACTTGGACCTTCTCTCCTGGCTCTGGCTGAAGAGCCAGTCTGTGGATTGGTATCTGCGTAGTTTATGACGGATCATCAGCTTCTGTGTGGGAGCAAGGCCTTAGGGCTCCCTGCCACTCAGCACTATTCTGAGGACCAGTACATTTTCTGAGTGTTTGGCAAGATTACTGTGTCCCCCTGCCTCTTTTAATTCCTCTCTTTATAGATTCAAATCTCCTTATAAATAAAAAGAGGCCTATGACAAATTTGGCTTACCTTTGCAGTCATGAAAGTATCTAAAACTGTGAAGAGATATACAAGATATTTTAGTTTGTATCTATTATGCCATAAAGTTTTGCCCTTCTAATACATTTATAAATGTCAACTTTACTTAATTTTAACAATATACAATTGAGATTCATCTATCCGCATACACTTCATTGTAGCTATGTAGGATGTACTTTGTAATTCAGCAGGTATTTTGATCACCTACTATGTGCCAGGCAACATTGTAGCAGTTCATGATAACATCAATTAACAAAAAGGAAAAATGCCTGTGCTGTGGAATCTACATTCTAGTGGGGACATTAGGTAATATGTAAATGGCATAGTAAGTAATTATAACATATGTTAAAAGGTAATACATGCTATGGAAAAAAAGAAAATGTAGCCCTGGCTGGTGTGGACTGAGCACTGGCCTGCGAACCAAAAGGTCACTGGTTTGATTTCCAGTCAGGGCACATGCCTGGGTTGCGGGCCAGGTCCCCAGTGAGGGGTGTGCAAGAGGCAACCACACATTGATATATCTCTCCCTCCCATCCTCTCTCTTTAAGAAAAAATAAATAAAATCTTTTAAAAAAGAAAATGTAGACCAGAGTAAAGGAAGATCGGTCAAGAGCTCTAGGGATGTGCTTTGTAATTTTTTAATTTTTTTCTTTTTTATTGTTGCTCAAGTACAGTTGTCTCCATTTCCCCCGCACATAACCCCGCCCTACTCCCCCACCTCCTACCCTAAACCCTACCCTTTGGCTTTGTCCATGGGTCCTTTGTACATGGTCCTTGATGACCCTTTCTTCTTTCCCCGCTATCTCCCTTCCCCCTCCCCTCTGGTTACTGTCGGTTTGTTCCTTCTTTTAATTGAGTGGTCAGGTCAGGCCTCAGTTTGAGAAGGTGACATCTGAGCAAGGACTTGAAAGAACTGAGGTGGAGAGCCATGAGGACAGCTGGGAGAGAGATTCCAAGCAGAAGGAATAACCCGGCACAAAGGCCTTTGGGCAAAGGCATGTCTGGCAGTTTCCAGGAACAGCAAGAAACCTCAGCACCTTGTACCTATCATATGACAGCCATGTGTGTGTGTGTTGGGGAGTAACATAATAAACAAGTTGTAAAGCATGAGATGGAGAGTATGAAAGACTTCGTTTTGCCACTTACCTGGCTCCGTGCCCTGGGGTGAGCCAGTTAGCCAGTCCGAGCCTCTATGTGCCATCAGAAGTGTTCAGGAAATACCCACCTCACAAGTTTAGGCTAGAAATTTTTTAAAGCCGTATGGCCCATAGTAGATCCTCAATAAATGGCACCTCTAATTCATCTTAATTAATTTGTACCCTTTGAGAACAGGAACGTATCTTTCTCATCCTCACCTTTGTTGAGTGTGAGTAAAGTTGTGTCATCCAGCACCTACTGACAAATAAGCCATGGAAGAAAAAGTTATTCAATTCTATACACATTACAAACTCTGATCCTAGTAACATACAGTTGTTCATTCTTTGTAGATGTTGAGCGTCGACGCATTTACGATATCGTGAATGTCCTAGAGAGTTTACACATGGTGAGCCGCCTTGCCAAAAACAGGTATACTTGGCATGGACGACATAATCTCAACAAAACCCTTGGGACTTTGAAAAGCGTCGGGGAGGAAAACAAATATGCTGAGCAGATTATGATGATCAAGAAGAGAGAATATGAACAAGAGTTTGACTTCAGTAAGAGTTACAGTATAGAGGATCACATCATCAAAGCGAATGCTGACCAAAATGGCCACCCAGACATGTGTTTTGTCGAACTCCCTGGAGTAGAATTTCGGGCAGGTGAGAGATGGTATTGGAAACTGAGGTCTAAGGAAAAGGTTCCTTAGGGAACACTGCTTTAAAGCTACTGCTGCCTTTAACGTTCAAATGCTGCAGCTGTCAACTGTATGATCAGGTGGTAATATTTTTAGCCTTGTTACTTTAGAAGTCACTTGTCCCTTGATGAATTTTAATTCATTAATCCTCATCCTTCTCCAAAGCTTCTGTAAACAGCCGCAAAGACAAGTCTTTAAGAGTGATGAGCCAGAAATTTGTGATGCTGTTTTTGGTGTCAACGCCTCAGATAGTAAGCCTCGAAATCGCTGCCAAGATATTAATTGGGGAGGACCATGTGGAAGATTTGGATAAAAGCAAATTTAAAAGTAAGTGTCATGACTTACGGACTTTTGGACCTATTCTTAAACGGTAAAATCTCAGTTATAAACTGATTTCCAAATGCATTCACTATATGAACAAGTCTTCTCTAATCATGCTTTTGTGTCTTCACTTCTCCCCAGCAGCCATGATCGTACTGCTTTAACTAATGGGTAGGGGTCAAACACATGTATGTAACTTCTCTTACTTGTCTGACACTTTGACCTATAAACAGTTTCTTAAAAGTTACCTCATTCAATGCTGTAACATTGTGTTTATTTTACTAATATATAAGCTGCAGTTGCCTGAAGTCTAAATGAGCAGGACATTGTAAAGTAGGACTGGAACCCTGGTTTCTTCGCTTTCTACTCTCTCTCATATGTGAGAGTACAAATAACTCTTCTAAAATTGTCACCAGAAGTCACCTGCAGCACAGTTGTTTTCTCAGTTTGAAAGAATGGTTTTAGCCAGAATATTTGCTCAAATGGGATCACAGATTGGATTCCTGATGCAGAAGTCTACCCTCGCCCCTAAAAGAGACTTTACAGGAACCTCCACAGAGAGATGTAGGTAGAGAGAAGGTATAGGAAAAAGTGTTCAGTAGGAGGGGAGGGGTCTGCTGCACACCCTCGCTCCTGGAGGCGTTAGCAAAGCTCCAAGTAGGGAATGAGGCTAGCCTGAACATGCGACACTTTGGGGACCCAGCTGTGTGGTGAGGAAGAGCCACTTCAGGCAACAGCAGAGGCTGTGGGAACACCTGGGAGCTGCCACACAGACCCCTTCCCATCCCCCAAGAGCTGTTCTAGTCCTACGAAAATACATTCAGACATCCCCAGGTTGACAGTGTCTTTATCAAGACAGAAATAAGTAGGGAGAAAAACAATAATGCCGGCAATTGGCTTGGGAGAGCTACAATTTCAGAAAACACGTCCTGATACTACTGATGGGCGGCCTGCTTTCTGAGTCACCAGACAGTTTTCGGCTCCCCGTGTCCCTGGTTAGTCACAGCTTGGAATCCATTCCAGGAACTGCAGCTGTGTGATTTGCTAAATCCCTGGGGAATTCAGAACCTTCTGGCATGGCTATGAAGAAGGGGCTCATTTTATAATTTTGTACTATCAAGCTGGAAGTAAAAGCAGACTTTCTAACAAAATTTTTTAAGGTATCTAAGATCTGTAGAATTAATAAATCTCTGCTTTGCATATTACATAAGGACAGCATTAACAATTTACAAATGTTGATGGTCTGTGGAACTGTCCATGCTTATGATAGTAAATCAATCTTACTGTTATAAAATATCACAAGCAGGAAAGCAATACATTGATCATTGATTCTTTATTTCTTTTGTTAATAAAGCTCTTCTGAATCCTCATGAGAACACGCCTAGCAATAGTGACTTTTGTCAAGAAATCTGTAACATAGCTCCTGATAGGGTTATCTCATTAAGTCATTTTTCCTTTTCCAACATGTGCTTTTGTCATTTCACAATTTAGTAGCAGCAGTAACTGAGTCTTTCTAATATTTAAAACTATTTTTTTTGTTTTAATTATAGCAGTATCACTAGTATAACTCTAAAAGAGTCACATTTTTTCGGTCTGACATTGATGGTTAGGATGGCTCTTTGAATATATGAAGTCCTTATGAAGCAGAGTCCTTTGATCTTTCATTATTCCATTAACCAGTATGTAAACTTTTTCTTCCCCCAGCAAAAATTAGGAGGTTGTATGATATAGCTAATGTTCTGAGTAGCCTGGATCTTATCAAGAAAGTTCATGTTACCGAAGAAAGAGGTCGAAAACCAGCTTTTAAATGGACAGGCCCAGAAATCAGTCCTAATCCCAGTGGTATGTATTTGTTTTCTTAAATTCTTTGCTTCATTGTTTTGAATTAATACATATTTAGAGACATTCTCCTTTCCCTTTCCTAACCACACTCCCACATGGAGGAACTATATATATATACATATATGTGTATATATATATATATAATACACGCGTGTGTGTGTGTGTGTGTGTGTGTGTGTGTATGTGATCGAAATACATACAAGTGATTGAAAAGACAAAGATGAGTGCCAACAAGGAAGGTCTGGCTACCGGCTCCATCAGCAACCCAAGGCCCATAACCACCTCCCATAAGGTGTCCAGGAGGTAGAATCTGTATGGGAAAGGATTTGCAAAAGTTGAAAGCATCACAAAACATAAGATACTAATGCTGTCATTATTATGCTTCTCAGTGACCATAACATAGCCTATGTACATTGAGAATATGAAATGAATTCATTCCAGTATCAATATTCTAGTCTCCCTCTCAACTCCGGGATTCTGGCATTTTGCATTCCACCAAAGCTCCCACACAGAAGTGCTGGAAAGTGGCGAGAACATGGGCCATGAAGGCAGATGGAGACTTAGCTTCCAGTCTCAGCTCTGCCACTTACTAGCTGTGTGGACTTGGGCACGTTACTTATCCAAGGTCGGGTTTCCTCACCTGGAAAACAGGAAGAACCATGGGGCCTCTATGAGGATATTGTGATTTGGGATGTAATCTCAGAGAGGTCCTTTGGCACAGGGATTTGGAGCGCAGGCGCTGCGGCCACACTGATGGAATTTGTATCCCAGGCCCACTTTCTACCAGCCGAGAGCCTGTGATTCAGTTGGTTAATGTCTCTGAAATGGGGGTGCATTTCCTGAGAAGTACCTCTCTAGTAGAGGTGGTGGGAGTATCTCAGTGTGTTGAGGCTGCTGTCACAGAATACCATAGACCGAGTGGCTTATAAACAACAGAAATTTGTTTCTCACAGTTTTGGAGGCTAGGAAGTCCAAGATCTGTATATGCAGTGTCTGGTTGCGCCTGCGTTCTAGACAGCCTTCTTTTTGTTGTACCCTCACTTGGAAGAAGGGGAGCTCTGTGGGGTCTAATCTGTTGGCTTAATCATGAAGGCTTTGCGCTCATGACCTTAGCACCTCCCAAAGGTGCTAATATTATATTGGGCATTAGGTTTCAACATGTGAATTTTGGGGAGGACACAAATATTCAGTCCATAGCAGTGAGGGTCACCATATTTCATCAGATTAAGACTCCACTGATTACAAGACGCACAATTTAATATATATCAATAAGAAAAAAAAAGCACTGACAATAACACGATAGCACGCCACTAGTTACAAGTTACGGTGGGTTTTAGAAATGCTAAATGTGAAATTTTGTCTCAGGATTCATTTAATGGGGTAAACAAGGTTTTGTATATATAGAAGTCCTTAAAACAGTGTCTGGCATATAACTGGCACTCTGCAACTGTTGCCACATCGCTCCTAAAATCAGTCAGAACTATGCTGGGACCTTACATCCCACAGGGAAGACGAGTCACCCGTGTTCTAATGGCCTGCGCTTTTCTCCTTCAGGTCTCAGCCCCGTCATTCCCTTCTCCCCCTCAGACCTCGAAGTAAGGCAGCCCTCAAAGGAGAACTGTGCCAAAAACCTCTTTTCGACACATGGGAAGCCGAACTTTACTCGACACCCATCTCTTATCAAACTGGTAAAAAGCATAGAAAGTGATCGGAGAAAGATAAATTCGGCTCCCAGTAGCCCTGTCAAGACCAACAAAGGTGTGTTTTCAGTCACATTAGGGCTCTGCTCGGAAGAATTCCTTTTTTTCTGATTTTTTTCAGCTTACTTGCTTCCAATGGGACTTGTTAGAGAATTGCTTCCATATCCATATGCCTAACGCCACTTGAAGCCTAACTTATGTATGAATTAAAGGATAAAAAGTAGTTTGTGGGGGTTTCTGTTTAATTGCTATGCGATTTTGGGAAGGTGCATGTTTTCTGTTCCTTGGCCTTCAGTGATGCGTCATCTGCGCGAGCATTTCTTCTTTGGCTTTGACCAATGCCTCCCCCCTTTTCTTTCTATTTTCCCAGCTGAGAGTTCTCAGAGTTCTGCGCCCTTCCCAAGTAAAATGGCTCAGCTCGCAGCTATATGCAAAATGCAGTTAGAAGAGCAGTCAAGGTAGGTTGGCAATGCTCTTTAGTAACAGGATGAATTACTGTTAGTTGCATCATTAGGATTACTTATTTTATGTAAGAACAGGCACTAACCTTGGAAACTGGTGAGATAATCTTTTCTTTAACTCCTGTGCAATTATTGCAGAGACTATCTGCTCGTTTCATAATAGTGAGGCTTCAATCTGGGATGGTATAAAGTGGTAGAATGTTTTAGAGAAAATGTATTTATTTCAGAACATTTTAGAAAATGTCTTGTTTTAAATCTTGTCTTTCAGTGAACCCAGAAAGAAAGCAAAATTACAGCTGGCAAGATCTGGGCACTGCAAACCAATGGCCCCCCTGGACTCCCCAGTGAATGCTGAGCTGGAGCTGACGGCACCGGCCCTTCTCCAGCCCCTGGGGGTGGTCCCTCTGATCCCCAACCCACTGTCATCAGCAGTGCCCATGATCCTACCTCAAGCTCCTTCGGGCCCATCCTATGCCATCTACTTGCAGCCTGCCCAAGCCCAAACTATGACGCCGCCCCAAGGCCTGAGCCCAACAGTCTGCCCCACCCCCTATTCTAAAGCTACAAGATCAGAAGACTACCCAGATGCCACTACCGAGAAAGCAGCCAACGATGCAGAAAAGCCCAGTACCTCCACCAGGCCTGGAAACCTGTTGCCAGTGCCGGAGAGACAAGGAACCCAGAACCGAGACAGAGAACCTGCTGCAGAAAGAGGCTCAAAGAGGGCAAGCATAGTCGAGGACAGTGGTTCCAAAAAGAAATTGAAAGAGGACCTAAAAGGACATGAAAATGTTCCCACAGTAAGTACACCTTTGTACTATATAAGCTTTAGAACTCCCCAACTGATTAGAGGGGGATCTTTTGGCTTGTGAAATTAACCAGTGCAAAGAGAAGGCCTTCGAAAGACAAGGAACTGTTTTTTTAGCATCCATAATCCAAACAAGGCCCCCCGGACAGCTAATCCCGGCGGGCCAGCTGGGATGACAGCAGGGACATTTTTAACCTTTGGAGGAAGGGATTATTTGCTCTCCTTTTAAATCACCACGGGTGGTTGTCCTTAAGTCCATTTCTCTACCACACACTGGAATGCAAACACCTGTCATGAAAGTCTTAAATAATTTACAAGCAGATGTAACCTCAAGTGAATGGATGGATACATAAGGTTCCGGTGACTTGGGCTTTCTGAGTCATTACCTAAGGTTTGTTTGATGTCACATAACTGGCATCTGTTGCCTAGAAGATAAATTCTACCCCCTCTTTTTACTTTCTAATATTTAAACCAAAATTTCTATTTTGAGTAAATAGAAAAATCTTATCTGGCAAATTGTAGGTATATTTGACACAACACACTGGTTTCTAGGGAGTGTGATATTCCAGATAATTTTTTTCCTAGATGGAATTTATCAAGAAGGAATTAACATTTATTGGATGCCTACCCACACATCAGATGTCAGAAGGATTAAGCACTTTTACATATATTATCTCATTTTCCTCTCTTAGGACAATTATATATGAAAGACATGATCACTGAATGAATACCACTCAATGTGGAAGCAGAAGTTAATCTCTTTTTTCATCCCTGCTGTTAACTGAAGTTATTTTGTTTATCTATATCTTGTTTTCCCACATCTCTGAAGAATTTGTTCCACCAGTTTTTCCTGATCATCTATGGGGTTTAAAGCACTGTGCCCTGGACCAAATCACACCCAGCACCTGCCTTTGGTGATGGTTGCTTTTGAGTACTTGCCCCAGGGCCATATTACAGTTTTTGTGAAGCTAGGTGAACTTCTTACATGGTGATATACAGAGGGGTTGGAAATCTTTTTAAGGCACCATATACGATGAAGGGTATTGTCTGTAGCTGTTGTTATTAAGGAGGCTTTAGAGTTTGTCAAGTCTTCCCTTAGGATGACCTCATGGTAACCATTCAAAATATCTATCTTAGTATATTATCATTTTGCATTTAATATCCATGCTAGGTGGGGAAATATAAGGCTTTAGACTGATTGGATTTTCTGGAAGGTCCATAATCTCTTCGCGCCAGTGGGGTAATTTAATAACGTCTCCTGCTGCTCACTTAGATATCCAGGATTAGAGTTTTCAGTGGATAGATTTTCCACGCCCCCTCCTTCTTTTTTCATCTGTGTGACTTCAGTTCAACCATTTCTTTTTAGCATGAAATGAGCAGAACAAAGAAAGTGTGTTAATTTTTATGTTAATTCATTCAGTGAACATTTACTGAGAAGCTACAGGTAGTAGGGCGGAGAGAAGACAGTGTACAAACAAAACACATCAGTTAGTGAATAATAAGAACTATAGAGAAAATCAAATAGGATGTGGAAAAGGATGGAAGGGGGCTAATGTAGCCTAGAGGAGATAACATGCAGGTTGAGACATGCCAAATTCATCCATCCTGTTAATATAACAGTTCTCAATTAAAAAAAAGAAAAGAAATTGTCATTATAGGTTAAAAGATATTGTGATGAATGTATTTTGTAGAAAACTGAAAAATAATTATTATTAGAGTACTACAGGTTTTGCTGAAGAATTGAATTAAACCATCAACCAGAGTAACTTGTATGGCAAAGAAGTAGGATTAACAATAAGAAAGAGGATTTGTAACACCCCTAAATTCACTCCTTAAAAATTTCTATTCCTGCACCTTTCAAGGAACCCTCCAGTAAAGATTATGAACAGTGCTAAGCATCTAAGAAACAAAATTTAAAGTTTGTGGTACACTTTCAGCATTGTGGATTCTGAATTTACTGGTTCCCAGGGAAAAGACAGGACATATTAACAGCTAGATCAAAGTGTAGACTGTTGTTTTAACAATGTCATGTAGACTGTTGTTTTAACAATGTCCAGAAGAAAGATCTGGAGGAAGATAAAAGGAGGGCCCCTTGTTTACAAGAGCTGCATTTAGCTCTTGCCAGTCCTGCTCATGGTGAGGCTGATGCAGACTTTTCTGGCAGTTCAGCCACCCATCACTTTCTCTTTTTGGTAAAATACATGGATCTAGCAGGCAAAGAGAGGATACACACACAACCCAGCATTCTGGTCGTTTCCATTTGATCTATAACTTTATTGCCTAAAGCTTTTGTTCTATGATAGTTGGGTCCACTAATATAAATTATTCAGTTCTCTTTTTTAATCTGTAGTTTTTGAATTCTGGTGCTATGCCCTTTAATGTGTATAAATGTGTTTGCTTGGTATCATTAGAACCTGAAGTATTAGAAACAAATCTGTGGTTGTATAACTCCTTTGTTCTAAGTCAGGGGCCTGTAAACATCTTTCTGTAGAGGACCAGAGAGTAAATACTTTTGGCTTTGTGGACCATATGTTCTCCGTTGTACCTATTCAACTCTGCCATTGTGAAAAACAAATAGAAAGCAGCTATAGACAATACATAAATAAATGGGCATGGCTGTGTTCCAGTGCAGTTATATTTACAAAAACAGACAGAAGCCTGCATATTGGCCCGTGGTTTGGCAACCCCCTTCTCTAAATCAACATTTCCTAAAATGTGTTCCTTGAATTCCAATACTATCAAAAATGTAGTTGCCGGGTATCCTGCGAAGTGCTACATGCTGGATATTCCCCCTTGGACATTTACAGTGCATGCCATTATTAAAGACCTTAGAAATTCTCTAATTTAAATACCATTTTCCTTTGTGGAATTCAGCATTTCCCAAACATGTTTGAGCAGGATTCAAGCAGTGCCTGCTTGCACCCCATGGAACTAGTGTCCCTCAGAATGCTCTTTGGGAACCACCCTTCTATGTGATTCAAGAACAATCGATAGTAACATTGCAGTGCCATTGTGGTGTCCAGCGGCATTAACCTGGTTCTGACAGTGAGCACCACGTCCTACCACGCAGTCTGACAGGAGGTCAGTGTGAAGTGGGTGTGCTGGGCGACTCCTACTCTGAGCAGGCTCCATGGCGGTCTTAGGACATTTCCTAAGACCACAGAGGGCACTGAAGAAACACATGGTTTGTGCTACTCAGGACAAGTGTTGGAATGGGAGGGAAGGGGCCTGCCCGCAGCGGGTATAGTTTGGAGGCATTAGTCTAATGAGACAACCACCAAGGTGCATTAGTCCCGAAGAGGCACATGCCATTTTTCTTCTGGTATTTGTGTGTAAAATAAACCCTTCCTCCTTGTTTTCTAGACCTTGTTCCCATCAGGATACCTAATCCCTCTCACCCAGTGCTCATCCCTGGGGGCAGAGTCCATTTTGCATAGTAAAGAAAACTCAGGTACACTTTCCCCAAACCACAGGATCTACAGCTCCCCAATCGCAGGTGAGTGTATGTAAGACGCCATTCAAACGTGGGTCAGTCTCAAGTTCACTTAAGCCTGGTAAGCTTCTCAGACAAATGCCTGTGTTTTTTAAGATATTTCCCTCCCTTTTATTTCCAGGTGTTATTCCAGTGACATCATCTGAACTCACTGCTGTTAATTTTCCCTCTTTTCATGTAACGCCTCTGAAGCTAATGGTCTCACCAACTTCTGTGGCGGCCGTACCTGTGGGGAACAGCTCGGCTATCTCTTCGAGCCACCCTGTCCCCGTCCAGAACCCAAGCTCAGCCATTGTAAACTTCACCCTGCAGCACTTGGGACTCATCTCCCCCAGTGTGCAGGTGTCTGCCAGCCCTGGGTCCGGAACTGTCCCCATGTCTCCAAGAATAGAGGCTGTTAGTATCATACCAGAAAATGCAGGCTCTCAGCAAGGACGGGCCACCAGGTATGACTCTCCAGTCCTGGGCCAGAACCAACTGAATGGACAATCCATTGCTGTGACAGGGGCACAACAGGTGAGGGAACTTTCATTTAACTTATTTTTTTCCTTAGATTATTAAGTCTCAAATGTCATCATCATGGGAGACGATCTTGCTTTTCTTCTTTAAAGAGGGAAAGGATGGGAACATGAGGATATTGAAGGCCTATCTGCTCTCCAAACCTGGGACGAGGGTGCAAGGAATCCATATTATTGAGTTCCCAGGAGCTTTTTTCTCACCTTAACAAAGAATAGCTGAGAATGTAAAACTCATGCAAGCTTACCTAGCTGATTTCAAAGTTATGCTGGGCTCCCATATGTGACCTGTTCTTCCAGTCCAGTCTTCTAAGGCTGCTAGAGCATACCTGTCTGTGGGTTTGACTTCTTTTTCTCCATTCCTCTCTTTCCAATCAGCCTGTTCCAGTAACACCCAAAGGGTCACAATTAGTGGCCGAAAGTTTCTTCCGTACCCCAGGTGGACCAATGAAATCGATGGGCTCATCCTGCATGGATTTTGATGGTGCTAATAAAACCTCCGTAGGATCTCTCTTTGTCCCACAGCGAAAACTGGAAGTCTCAACAGAGGATGTCCATTAATTGACAAATTTGGCTTCATTTACTTTTCTAAAGAGTTGCTTAATAGAGAAGATGTACTCAGACTGGTTTGACAGACATACTCTCTGAAAATACTGTAAATATGTTGGGGATTTACTTAATTTCAAAACAAACAATTGTTTTCACACACACACACACAGATATATATTTGTGTTAAACTAAATTTATCCATCAGTCCTAAAAAATAAAAGTAAAATATTGAATCTAAGGTATATTAGCTTCTAGGGAGAAAGACTGAATAATTTCACCTGTGCCTCCACTATACCATTATGCAAAGTAACTATATTAAAGTTTACGTCTCTGAATGAATATGTGATGCATAACACAGCGTTCTCTTAAACTTTGCACAAAGAAAAGGCTGTGATGTATAATGTATTTTTAAATGGGGCTATAGCTATATTTTTTATAATTTTAATCTTTTTTTTTTTTGCAGTATGTCTTTTTGTAAAGTTTGCAACAATCCTCAATCAAGTCTATGGAAAAATTATTTATGAAATGTATTTTTGATCATAAATTGTTGAAATTAAAACTTTTTAAAAATGTATTTAACATTTTTATTTGGCCAGTGAGGGCACTGTTTGGAGAAAATGAAAATTTGTCTAACTAAACTCCAAGGCAAATTCTTGGTATGGAGAATACATCCTGGGTTCCCTTAGACATGCACCATTTACAAAATGTTCCTACATTCTGCCTCCCTTTTGATCTTCCATATGGCCCATTTTTACAGCAGTGAAAATGGCTTTGAGTCTCTGTTGCTTGCCCAAGGTCACGCAGCTAAGTTCCGTGTGCTCTCCGTCATACCCTGGGAGACTAGCCGTGAAAGGAGGAGCTGGGTTGCTCCCTACCCTGCCCTGGCACCACCAGCATCTGCCCCAGGCCTCCTGTTGCCTACAGAGGACGGGCCCCAGACACAGTCCTCTTACCACACTTTCCAAATGGCCCAGCCCCAGGAATGGGAAAGCAGCAGTAAAGTCTCTGATTCCCCCCACCCTCTGGAAACTACACTAAACCCCATGAGCTCTAAGAGAAGACACGAGCTCCAATGTGATAAGTGTGTATCTCCTTGACTCCTCTTTGTTATGGGATGAATTGTACCTTGAGAATTGACATGTGCCCTCCCTGGTCAGTGTCTTAAAGGTGATTCATCATATCTATTTCCTATATGTTTACTATATGCTAGGAACTGTGCTATTCATTCTAGAGGCATTACCTCTATGGGCTAGAACTATGAGGTCACTGAGGCTCTCAGAAATTAAAAAGTCCAGTTACATTGCTAGTATATGCATTGACTCAACCGTGCCAATTGGCCCTCTATCCACTACCCACGTGCCAAGAAATGCAAGCCTAGCAGCTCTGGTAGAACCAAGCCCATTGTTTCAGGGTAATCTGAGCATTTGTAAGGCTGTCCCTTCAAATATACATAAATATACATGTTTTGTTTGCATAACCAAGTACAGCTAAGAGAGGAGATTTTCACATTAACCTGGAGACCCCCTCTTCCTTCACACCACTAGAGAACCAATATGAGCTATTCCAAAGTACCTCTGCCTTTTACACTACTTGAAGGACATGTGAATGGTTCCTGCCTTTAGGTGCTTATTTATAATGCAAGGCATGGGCAAAAGTAGGTTTACAGTTGTAATACAAATAAATAATAATACAAGAATAAACCCCATGTGTCATGTTCTCACAATGTGAACCTACTTTTGCCTACCTGTGTATAGGTAAGATATGTACACGTGAGTAAACAAAGAATTTCTATGTAATAACAAAAATTTATCAAGTGGTAAATATGGACAAAAGATACAGTTCAGTGGAGTCCACTAGGTTCAACTGTACACAGATAAAGGGAAACATCAACTAGAAAGACAATCATGGTAGCTCAGGAGGTGAAGCTCCGTACATCTCTCCCTCCCCCAGAGCTGAGCTAGAGAGATTGGAGCTGAGGCCCCTCATCAGGTCTCCACATGAAATACCTCCCCAGGACTGAGGTTTAGCAAAGTCAGATGCACAGAAAGAGGTAATGTTAGATTTCAAGGCAGCTCTGGGGACTGTCCCATTCAGTTCTGCAGCTCTGACAGATTCGTGGATTTGCCCCTAAATCCCACCTCCTGGTATTCATGCCTCCGTGTGACCCCCCTCCCCTTAAGTATATGTGGGGCCTAAGATTTCCTTCTAACCAATGTGTGTGATTATATGTACACAATTATGTGCTTACATAAGATTGTAGGGCCTGTTTTGCTGGAGTCTCTTCCTTGCTAGCTTTGAGGAATCCAAGTGGCCGCGTTGGGGAGCCCAACACAGCAAGGAACTGTATGCAGCCTCTTGAAGCTGAGGGTGACCTGTAGCCAACAAGCAGCAAGAAACTGAAATCCTCAGTCCTACCTAGAACCACAAGGAACTGAATTCTGCCAACAGCTTGAGTGAACATGCAAGTGGTTCTTCCTCCAACTGGGCCTCAGATGAGACCACAATCCTAACTGACGCCTTTATTGCAGCCTGATGAGATCCTAAGCAGAGAACCCAGCTAAGCTGTCCCCGGACTCCTGACCCTTGGGAACTGTGAGATAATAAATTTGTGTTGTTTTACGATGCTAAGTTTGTGGTAATACTGTTACGCAGCCATGGAGAACGAATGCAACCACGTTTATAGAGTGATAACAATTATCACCAGTGGGACAACTAAACTAGTGCTCATAACTCTCTTCTTCCAGTTTGTCTTATTGTTCATTGGTTTTATAGGCATTCATAGATGCAAACATCATGGGGATGTGGTATCCCCAAAGGTTTTCATGAAAGAAACACTGCCCATTTTTAAAACTAGAGCAACTTTAAAGATGCCAGATAGCACAGTAGTGGACAAAGTTACCTGCCCAGCACGCAATTTCTGTTTTTGAACTGCCTTCTGATTTCCTCTTAAGGAATCACTGGATGGAGCCCAGTAGGCTGTAACTGGAGGTCCCACCCATATCTATAGCCAGGGTGGGCATGTCATCCAGACTAGGCCAACCTCCCTGGAATCTGATGTTTCATTTCAGCAATGACCTCACCGTTTTGGTTCTGCTGCAAATTTGTCGCTGGGGTTCCTGCTTCCCAGCTTCTGGAACGGCCTTTGTACCCGCCCATGTTCAAACCTGATTTTCAGTGCTCCACCGATTCTGTGGGCCTTTGCTATCCTTCCAATAAGTTTCCTTTGCTTAAAGTTGCCAATCATTCCTGAGCGTCTTAACCAAAGGACTCTTACAAACCAGAGGGAAATCCAGAGCCAAGGCTTCCCAATTCCCACACCAGTCAGTTCTCCGTTCCCGGGCTCTGGTAAAATCCAGCCAGAGTAAGCAGAAAGCCTTGAGAAATGCTTATCCCATCAGAAAATGCGAGCAAGTCACCTACGTTCAAATGAACATAAAGTGTCATTTAAAATACCTGAAAGGGAAGTAGTTCAAAGAGAGAGAGAGAGAGAGAGAGACAAGGAATCCAGGAAACTAGAGCAATAGAATTTGATGCAAAAAAAAAAAAAAATTAAGCCCAGCTTTAAAACAAGTTTCCTCAGCCTTGTCCTTTTCAAGTGATTAGTGTTACTGCAGATAAAAGATGAAGAGATTTCCAAAACTTAAGCAGATAAGCTGTCTGAGCAATCCTATTAATACTATAGAAGACTACCCTGCGTTGACTATAGATTCTCCACAGTATTTATCACCACCTGGTAGCTTTCAAATCTTGAGGTCCTAAAATAAGAGATAAGCTGGAAGGAAAAGTGCCATTATTGTATGTTAAAAAAAGTGTCAACTTTTTACTTAACTTTTAAAAAAAGTGGTTTTACATCTCAATTTCCTATTTGAGTGCATTCAGGTCAATCACTTGCACAAACAGATAAGTAATTAAGGGCAGACTTAACCCTTGATTCTTATCAAGGGTTAAGAATGTCATGATTCTTAACATTTTGTAGAAAAATATAGGTAGGGAATATATTATCAGTGTCTTCCAACAGTCAGGTAATTAACTGCCTTTTTGAAAGGCTACCAGAGAATCTTCTATATTCCATGAGTTATGCTCAGAGTCTGATTTGTCCTGTATATACTGAATTCTATTTTTAAAATATTTATTCAATTATTACCATGTGCTCATCACTGTGCAATGCAAAACAATGCCTATTATCCTATTTTGGATAATAAAAGATCCTCTGCGTTTGAATCTTCTGGAAGTTTATCCTGAATGAAAACATTTTTATTTTAGTTACTATTGATTAGAATCTTTCTAAAGTGATAAAATAGCTCCCCATATTCTTAAACAAAGAGTACTTTGAATATAATTTAACTTTTTATTCATGCTGAAGAAACTCATGAGCACTATTTTGTTAAATTCAAATTCAACAGACAACTTAGGCCATCTATGATAGAGTAATGCCCTTGGCAGCTATTAAATATGTAGGTCTTATCCTCCTAAAATGAATCACTCCAGAAACTATACTTTTCAAGTTCTCATGGTTCTCTGTCTCCAACTTTTGACATCAGCTTCAACTTCCCTCTACCCTACATTCATGATGAGGCTCTGTCTTCTGACCCAGGAAAACTGCAGGATTCCGGGGGAACTGATGCCGCCACCTCGCTTTTCTCCACCATTTCAAGTCGGAAGGAGGGCTCTGCTTCTCTCCCGCGGGGCTAAAGCAATGAGCTTCCTCTCGGGTGCTTCCCTTGCCAGTCAGTGGTCTTTCTAACTGTCCACATGAATCCAAACTTGTTGATCCTGGGAATCTGGGACCTCATGAAACACCAGAAATGCTGCATATAAATTATATGCCTGTATTCATGATCAAAATCCAACATTTCGATAACACGAAGAGCATTTCTACATAGAGATACTCCGAGAAACAGGACACGTCCTAGACATATTAGGGGGAAGAGTGGGACTTGAGATGTGAATAATTTTTATTGACTATCTACCATTTTGCCTACTTCAAAATAATATTCTGAGGCGGTTACTAT